TTTTTTTTTTTTTTTTTTTGGGGGGGGGGGGGGAGAGAGAGAGAGAGAGAGAGAGGGACAGACGGGTATCATGTCAATTGAAGTCTGCTTTCAACATAGCTGCAAGCTACAACTAAAAACTCTATAGTAAGCCAGGGGTACAAAATAATCTTCAACATTTACATGGGATGCCTTATTGCCCTTTATGCAAAGCAAAGCATGAAATACTTGAGAATTCTCAGTAGGGTTAATTAGGAGTCGCATTTTCTCTGAAGAATAATAACAAATTTTTACAAATTAGCGATGATTACAAAATAATAGTAATAAGAATAATAATCGTAGTAGTAATAACAATAATAATAAACAGTGAAAAAAATCTAAGGCAATGATTAACGACAATTAATACCTTTCTTAGTTGGGTTTAAGTCATATTCAGGACACAACCTGCTACTGTTATGCATTGATTTAGTGTTGCTGATAGCAGGCATGGCCTCCCCAGCTGAAAATGAAATGCAAGTAGGTTATCATAACACATTTGCCTCAGCAAAGTGGTCAGAATGAAGCTCTACAGAAATAAGCTATGAGAGTTGTTCAAAGAGAAAAATAAAACAGGAGAGAAGAAAATAATTTCCTGGAACAGTATATCGCTTATAATACTTTGGTGTTTTTATCAAAAACGACTGCTGCGAATGGCCACCTTGATCTACAAACTGTTGGCATGCTCGTAACCTCTACAATGTCGCACAAAGACTTTCAAAAAAATAAGAAAAACTAAGAATTTTTATGATTAATAGGAACTACATTGAGAGACGTGTGAACCTGAGGAGTACCTGTTCGATGCAAGAGAATCGAAGCTTTGTTTCAGAAACTTCATTGACTTTTTCATCTAAGAAATTGTTGACCTTATATGCAACAGAACCCAAGTGATCAACAGTACTAACGAGAGCTTTGGTGAGATAATCTTTCAAGGTCTCCACCATTCTATACAAGTTAGCATGAAAAATAGTTATGGAACAACAAGAGAAGGGATAAGAGGAGTTTTTGATTCACTCACCATTCTTTTGTAACTTTATTGCCTGTGTCTATAAATTCTAAAGTATTTCTCAATCTACTATTGTTTGTTTCTACTCGTCATGTTTTGCAAAAAATGCTTTCAAGGTAGTTCAAATCAAGCTTTCATGTAAATATCAGTAGATTGAAAAAAAAACTTTAAAAAACACGATACGGATGAAATAAAGTCCATAAAACACCTTAATTTGGTAATTGATTAGGGATAGGAGATGGAAATGTGACAAACACAAAATTGAAAAGATAAGGGTGACTCACAATTGTTTATGATCATCTTGATGATAAGATAATTCAAAATACTCTGCAGCTGAGTACAACTGTTTCCTTAAATACTTCAAGTCCTAGAAATTGAATTAGATGGAAAATGGAAGTTCAGGTTTCAAAATAAATGTGCAGAAAAAAGAGAAAAATAAGCAACACCAGTAACATATATATGAAAATATAAGGAGATGCCTTCAAACTATCGGCAAAGTGCAAGGTCTGCTGCATGAAGAATTCGTCATAATTGGAAGCCTGTTGTGGAACATTTACGGTTTCTTCTCTCTCCATGAAAGTAACTCAGAACTCAGATTCCTTCACCTGGTACGTATTATAATTAATCCTCTGCATGGAAATGCCAATAGAATCATGTGATCAGCTGGTACTTTTATCAGATACTTAGAAGTTCATTTGAAAATCCAAGAGAGAATCTAAACAACTATCAGTAAAGGAGCTATAAACAATGCGAAAGTCCATAACCAACAAGATAACTCTGGCAAAAGACATACAATTCACAAAATTTCATGTTTTTTTGGGGCACAAACAAAGGTGGGGGGGGGGGGGGGTTCAATTCTAGCTTGTGCCCAACCAAAACTTTCATGGTTCCTTAAACAAAAACAACTCTAGGAACATGCTTTTGCAAGGGAAGTGCTTTCTAATGCTAACAAGTCAGAGAAAGAAAGAGAAGAAAAAGCAAAAAACCTGGTCTTTTGAGTTAATCTGCAATTCCAATACATAAACAACTCCTCATTAGTGAACAAAGAAAGCCGAGTGTGAACTTCTACTTCTAGCTTGAGAATGTTGTATGTGGGGATGGTATAAGAGGACCAGAATGAGCATGGGTTATGAAGGAGTACTGAAAGGGGACAAGGATCAATAATAGATGTGGTGGGAAGGGACCTGGACGAGACTGGGGGTGGGGTTGAAGAAAGTAGTTTATGAGATTGAGAACGAAAAGTCCCAAAATGCCTTTTAAATGCAAAAACAGTTGGATGGTAAAAGAAACCACCACTCTCCAACATTTAGTGCTACGGTAGAGTGTGTGGTGTTGGTGCTAAATTCATGATAGAAGTTGTTAGAATGTTAATTTCCAGGGGTTTTTATTTTCATCTCCTGCCAGTTCTAAACAGTATGTATTCAATCTGGATTATAATAAATTCGATTTTAAGTAAAATGAAACTTAGAATTAAACATTTTGTTTGAATGCATCATGCACAAGACAAAGCCAAATCTAAATATCCTTTGATTCTGTTACTAATCACCGAGGATAATGGGAAGAGATGAGTAGGATAAATGGATGAGATGAAAAGAACTCAACTAACCTATTAATGAAGGGACCAACTAGTTGGTACAGAGGGTAGGTGGATAGAGTACAATATACTCTCACCAGTCAGGTTGTAATCCAATCTCTCATAGTGGGTAAGTAATGCGGATATGTATAATACGTGCCCAAGCAAGCTACCCGCAGGGGCGGAGGGAGGCATGGACCAGGGTGGGCAAGTGCCCCCCTCAATTTTTTTTTTATTAATTAGGTATANCTGGACGAGACTGGGGGTGGGGTTGAAGAAAGTAGTTTATGAGATTGAGAACGAAAAGTCCCAAAATGCCTTTTAAATGCAAAAACAGTTGGATGGTAAAAGAAACCACCACTCTCCAACATTTAGTGCTACGGTAGAGTGTGTGGTGTTGGTGCTAAATTCATGATAGAAGTTGTTAGAATGTTAATTTCCAGGGGTTTTTATTTTCATCTCCTGCCAGTTCTAAACAGTATGTATTCAATCTGGATTATAATAAATTCGATTTTAAGTAAAATGAAACTTAGAATTAAACATTTTGTTTGAATGCATCATGCACAAGACAAAGCCAAATCTAAATATCCTTTGATTCTGTTACTAATCACCGAGGATAATGGGAAGAGATGAGTAGGATAAATGGATGAGATGAAAAGAACTCAACTAACCTATTAATGAAGGGACCAACTAGTTGGTACAGAGGGTAGGTGGATAGAGTACAATATACTCTCACCAGTCAGGTTGTAATCCAATCTCTCATAGTGGGTAAGTAATGCGGATATGTATAATACGTGCCCAAGCAAGCTACCCGCAGGGGCGGAGGGAGGCATGGACCAGGGTGGGCAAGTGCCCCCCTCAATTTTTTTTTTATTAATTAGGTATATATATATTATATATTTATATAATACATTATTTGTGCCTATCCAAAACTCAAGATAAAAATGTTAGGTCCATATTATTTACCGAAAAGAATTAAAAAGTTAAACCCATTTAAAACAAAAAAATTTGAGTCCACTATTATCTACCTAAACTTATTAAAAAATTAAATGTTTAACCTATCACAATCAATCCAAACCTATTAAAAAAATAAAACTTTTGACCCCTCCCCCTCAATTTTTTTTTTTTGGCTTCGTAGTAAGTATGTATTTTTTAAAAAAAATTTAGACAAATTTAATTGTGTCCACCCTAATAATGTGTTTTGATGATATTGATTTGAATAGATCACTACCTAAATGATTGTTAACTTTTTGAACAATGTTATTGAAACTTAATTTAAAGACCTAATACATTGCGATATTAAGTATAATAGTGAGTTTTAATATTTAATAAACTCTACTATCTATCCAATGGTCACAAATCATTGGGTTTTCATCAATTAAATCTCAAATTAGGTACAACTAATATAATTACTAACTTTTAGATATGTTTTAGACACGTTTGAATATGTTTTGAATATATTGATATTATTTTATATTTTTTTTAAATTTTAGGGTTATTTCGTTATTGTATAAAANGCCTATTAATGAAGGGACCAACTAGTTGGTACAGAGGGTAGGTGGATAGAGTAAAATATACTCTCACCAGTCAGGTTGTAATCCAATCTCTCACAGTGGGTAAGTAACGCGGATATGTATAATACGTGCCCAAGCAAGCTACCCGCAGGGGCGGAGGGAGGCATGGACCAGGGTGGGCAAGTGCCCCCCTCAATTTTTTTTTTATTAATTAGGTATATATATATTATATATTTATATAATACATTATTTGTGCCTATCCAAAACTCAAGATAAAAATGTTAGGTCCATATTATTTACCGAAAAGAATTAAAAAGTTAAACCCATTTAAAACAAAAAAATTTGAGTCCACTATTATCTACCTAAACTTATTAAAAAATTAAATGTTTAACCTATCACAATCAATCCAAACCTATTAAAAAAATAAAACTTTTGACCCCTCCCCCTCAATTTTTTTTTTTTGGCTTCGTAGTAAGTATGTATTTTTTAAAAAAAATTTAGACAAATTTAATTGTGTCCACCCTAATAATGTGTTTTGATGATATTGATTTGAATAGATCACTACCTAAATGATTGTTAACTTTTTGAACAATGTTATTGAAACTTAATTTAAAGACCTAATACATTGCGATATTAAGTATAATAGTGAGTTTTAATATTTAATAAACTCTACTATCTATCCAATGGTCACAAATCATTGGGTTTTCATCAATTAAATCTCAAATTAGGTACAACTAATATAATTACTAACTTTTAGATATGTTTTAGACACGTTTGAATATGTTTTGAATATATTGATATTATTTTATATTTTTTTTAAATTTTAGGGTTATTTCGTTATTGTATAAAAATATGTATCGTTATGTAGTAAACTATAGGATCTTAAATGAAAGATTATTACTGCGATTTTATATATAAAAGAAATATTGTTGATAAAATTAATTTGTAACTCTTTTAAATAATAAAAATATATTATGATCAATTATAAGTAAAAATAATTAGTTGCATTCTCGATAAGAAGTTTTAATTATTATTATTTTTGTTCATGTTTTTTATATCGATTTTTAATTTTTTATGTTTAAAAAGTATTAAATATAATTATAATAAATATATATTTATGAACTTTTACGGTCTATTAAAAAAAATTAAAACATACTAGTGTGCTCACCGTAAAAAATTTTTCTGGCTCCGCCTCTGGCTACCCGTTGTGACTCTTTGACACTCGCGCCACCCTGCCTTGACTGCGATGATACTAATGACGGTTAATCACGAGCCACGTGGTGCAACATTAATTATGTGAATATGACGTTCCAAACACAGTCTGGACGTAACCAGCAGAAAGAGGTGCATTAACTGAGGTAAAAAAGGGATCTTAAGGTTACTGATCTGGACTAGTCACTGCAGGACCATAAACTTGAGAGGGTCATGTACGCGATGCCCCCAATGTGCTCCTACTGGGGGTCCTTCCCTTTTCTCTCTGAACCCCTTATTCAAGACCTTTGTTAAGGTGTCTTATAAAGAAAACCCACATAGTTTTGGTCATTTAGCCACCAATTCACATATCGTATTATCTCATACATTGATCTAGACCCATGACCCCAGTTACCTTAGGAGTCGCTCCAAATTTTAGTAAAGCATGCCCACTGGATAGTGAATTATACATTAAGAGGNGAAAAGAATTAAAAAATTAAACCCATTTAAAACAAAAAAATTTGAGCCCACTATTATCTATCTAAACTTATTAAAAAATTAAATGTTTAACCTATCACAATCCATCCAAACCTATTAAAAAAATAAAACTTTTGACCCCTCCCCCTCAATTTTTTTTTTTTTNAAATTTTTAATGAATTCAATAAAAATTTTGACCCAACATTAAAAATAAAACTCCCCCCCCCCTCAATTTTTTTTTTTTCATATTAAGCATGTATTTTTTGAAATAAAATTTAGACATATTTAATTGTGTCCACCTTAATATTGTGTGATGGCGATATTGATTTGAATAGACTCTTACCTAAATGATTGTAAACTATTTGAACAATGTTATTGAAACTTAATTTAAGGACCTAATACATTGCGATATTAAGTATAATAGTGAGTTTTAATATTTAATAAACTCTACTATTTATCCAATGGTCACAAATCATTGGGTTTTCATCAATTAAATCTCAAATTAGGTACAACTAATATAATTACTAACTTTTAGATATNTTATCCAATGGTCACAAATCATTGGGTCTTCATCAATTAAATCTCAAATTAGGTACAACTAATATAATTACTAACTTTTAGATATGTTTTAGACACGTTTGAATATGTTTTGAATATATTGATATTATTTTATATTTTTTTAAAATTTTAGGGTTATTTCGTTATTGTATAAAAATATGTATCGTTATGTAGTAAACTATAGGATCTTAAATGAAAGATTATTACTGCGATTTTATATATAAAAGAAATATTGTTGATAAAATTAATTTGTAACTCTTTTAAATAATAAAAATATATTATGATCAATTATAAGTAAAAATAATTAGTTGCATTCTCGATAAGAAGTTTTAATTATTATTATTTTTGTTCATGTTTTGTATATCGATTTTTAATTTTTTATGTTTAAAAAGTATTAAATATAATTATAATAAATATATATTTATGAACTTTTACGGTCTATTAAAAAAAATTAAAACATACTAGTGTGCTCACCGTAAAAAAATTTTCTGGCTCCGCCTTTGGCTACCCGTTGTGACCCTTTGACACTCGCGCCACCCTGCCTTGACTGCGATGATACTAATGGCGGTTAATCACGAGCCACGTGGTGCAACATTAATTATGTGAATATGACGTTCCAAACACAGCCTGGACGTAACCATCAGAAAGAGGTGCATTAACTGAGGTAAAAAAGGGCTCTTAAGGTTACTGATCGGGACTAGTCACTGCAGGACCATAAACTTGAGAGGGTCATGTACGCGATGCCCCCAATGTGCTCCTACTGGGGGTCATTCCCTTTTCTCTCTGAACCCCTTATTCAAGACCTTTGTTAAGGTGTCTTATAAAGAAAACCCACATAGTTTTGGTCATTTAGCCACCAATTCACATATCGCATTATCTCATACATTGATCTAGACCCATGACCCCAGTTACCTTAGGAGTCGCTCCAAATTTTAGTAAAGCATGCCCACTGGATAGTGAATTATACATTAAGAGGCTTACTCGAGCAGACTAAATTTTTGAGACACTACCCTAAATTGAGTTTAGCAATTATGCTCGTCCATCTTGTTGCTTAGTTCTTCCTTGAGAAGGGTCATACTGCCCTATCCCTATGTGGGGGACCTCTCCTCTTAGTCCACTGGGCCGATTGAACAATGGTGTCCCATAGGTTGAAGATATCAGTTTCATTGGTTGTGCAATCCCAGCTTTGTGCTTTGTTTCCACAGTGGGGGAGGCGAGTCACGGCAAGGTTGCCCCAGACTTTTGCAGTATCACTCTAGTTCGTCCTTGGTTAAGTGTCCATTTTACCACTTTTAATGTGATGAGGATGTGTCCCGCCCTTCTGCGGCACTATAGTGTTGAAGTAGTGCTGATGTCTGCCGCAACGCTGAAATGTTATCATAACACTGTTGTCCAAACCAATTCTGTTAGACCCCCACTGTCATATAAGTTATCGACTCTAGTCATTTGTTCTCTTACAATATGGACACGTGTCTTGAATTTATTGGATAATAAAATACGAAATATTCAGACCACATTTTTAACAACACAAATCACATTTTGTCAAATAATATAAAGTTATGTTATGAGATTCGAAAATGAGATCTATGATAATCCTTTAAATATTCAACCTTATCCTTCGTACTATGAAAAACAATGTTATTTTCTCAAAACCCCATCATTTTCATTACACTCGAATAATTGATGATTAAAGTCCACAAAAACTAGAAAAGTCAGGATTGTGTTACTAGCGTGGTTAGCAGGGCAACATTGCCAACCTATAATTGAAAAAGGACAAGAAGATATTTCAATAATATGGTGGTTGTGAATTCCTTATCAGGTGGGTGTGTGATTATGGTTATGGTTATACTTATTTATTAATATAAATTTAATTATCGACCGACTGCTCGTCATTCTTCAACCTCCATTATTCAATTCACAGCAGAACAAAAGTTCACTTGTAGTGTGTCAGTCAGGCCGCTAAAATTCTAGGTAAGTTCCTAAATAACTTTATCTAAATCGTGTCATTCTTGCTCAACCTCTATTTGTACCCATCACTCAAGATTGTTAGATTAGGTGTTTAAATTTGAATCAACTATTGCCTCAAACTTAATGATTGACTACCGTAATTTGAATTGTATTAGAACATATCCTAAGTGCCTATTTGGTATGTGAGTTTGAAAAGATTTTGAAACACGAGTTGAAGAATAAACTCCCTCAAACTCACGTTTGACAAATACACATGTAGTTTAGGGTTTGAAACTCAGCCCGGTCATAAAACCCAAGTTTATGGGTTTCATGAAACTCACGGGGCGTGGGTTTCATATGTGGGTTAGTGGATTTAACATACAAATGTCATTTATACCCTCATATATCTTATATATCCCATATAAATAAATTGATTAAGGAGCACAATAGTCATTTAAATACAAATATATTATCATAATAATCATATATCCCTGGACATATCAAATATGAGTATAAACAACATTAAATATTGAATATCATCTTTAGGTTTGGACAAGTCAATCCAAACTCCTCCCAAAAAATATACCAAACAGCCCCTAAAAGGGCAAAAATGACCGATCTCACATGATACTTAGATATCACGAGTGTAAACCAGTGACTCTACTGATGACTCAGTTAATAGAACTGCAATTTTATTCAGTGACGAAATTGTCACTGGATTTGGAGCAATTATGCATACCAATCCGATTGAATAATGTCATGGGCTGAGCTTATAACACTGTTTATCATTTTACCTCCCTCAAACCCCGTTACATTCAAGAGTCTACGCCAGTTTGGATCTATTGACTTGTCACATGTAAAAATAACTGGTTAGGCAGTACATGACCTGGAAGAATGAAATTGATCTTTGAAACCCTGGGAAACAATAAGTGCGTATTTTTGTGGGCAAGCAGGTGAGTGGGGTACAAGACTTCACATGTCGGTGTTCGACGATTAATATGCTTTTCACAACCAAGCCACTAAACACCTTCAGATTATAGAGTTAAAGCCACATGTTAGATAGAGCAAAGTGGTTGGAACCTGACACTAGATGTGCAACATGGTAAAGCAGGAAAAAAGGGACAAGAAACTGTGAATATTCCAACATAGCAACTTGTTTTGAATTTCTTTCCCTACTGAACAAAAGCATTGTCGGAACCCAAAGACACAAGTGCAGAATTTGTCTGCTTCCAAGAGAATGTAGAAGCTGACTACCATCCCTGGTTCTGAATTATAGTTCAAACATAAACACTTCTGCCAGGCAAATAGCAGGTTTAAGCGCTAGGGATTCGAAGTACGGAAACAAACAATGATTGAGCAGAATGTCCCTCAAACAATCCGCTCCAACTCCCTTGCATAACTCAGTGTCTGATTGATGAGTTGCAAAGACGGTATCTCCTTGCAAGGTGCAGATTCTTTTGCCCTTTGAAAAATTACAAATCCATTCTTTAACTCCCACTCAGGGTGCTCCTGCAAACCACAAGATACTATAATGCTCAGGAATGGTCCATTTACCGCGTTATCATTCAAAGCAATGATAATATGCTTAAAAGGAAATAATGAATAATAAAGAAAGTATTAAATCCGAACTCAACCTCTCCAATAAACCAATATGATTTCAAGTAGGTTCCAAAAAGTATTCCAATAAAGATGAAGTATGCCGCAAAGGTATGATGTATGCATATTTTAAAGTCCTTGGCAAATAACCAAACACAATTTACAATCAAGAAATATTTCAGAAAGAGAGAGAGAAGGGGGTGGGGGGAATGCAGGAAATTTTAAAGCAAAGGAGAAAACCAAAGATGACTGACTGATCAATACCACCCTTCTCATGCAAATCATCAAGACAAGATTAGTATGTGCTAAATTTAATTGACTAATAAGTCTCAAAAAATGCAAAAAAATTTACCTCCTTGACATATTCAAGAAGTTCTTGGTCTGAAGAGAACAGCAACATTTGTCTGCAATCATTAATTGAAAGAGAATCATATGCCTTCTCACCACATCCAGCAATCTCGTCCCTAACAAAAGCAAAGGAAAAAAAACTACTAAGCACATAAAACAAACAGCATTTTTTTAGGTAACTTATCATAAGACTATAAATTCAACTACAACTGGCCACTAACAATCTCCTTAGAAGGATGTGATAAGTTGTGCCACTACAACAGAATCCCATTTCCAGTAAAATTAATGAAATTGAAGATGATGGCTAGTACGCTAGTCCCATACCACTTCTTGCTATGCGAACTTTAGTCAAATCCTTTGAATATTGCATAATTTTGGGATCAACTAATTACCTGACTGTCTTTGCCAGTAGATCCATGAAATAAACGTATGTTTCGTGAGGGACTGTCTGTCTAGCACTCAAGACACGATTGTAAGCTCCTTCCATAAAGGATTGCTCTAATTCCACATCATGTTTGATACAAGGATTCTCCAGAGCAGTGGCAGAAAGCAACTCCAATTCTGTGTGGAATTCAGCAATTCTATTCTGCACAAGAAGTCTCAAAAGGTTGAGACCTAAGATGGGGTACTCCTGAGGGGATGATGGAATACGTCCACTGGTCCATCAAAAGAAACAGAAGTCACAAACATACCTTTTCATTTCAGGAGTTGTGCAAGCAAATAAGAGTAAGTGTTTGAAAAAAAAGATCACCAGCAACTACATTCCTCACACGCAATGAGGTTCTGTTTTAAACATACCTCCCTTAATTTACATGTAGGCATAACATACAATATATATACACATCAACAAAGACAATTCACGAATACATAAAATAATAAGATATGCAACTAGAAATTAAAGAAAAGCTTCCCTACATAATCACAAAACACAATCAGTTGAAAGATTGTACAACTATCTATTCAAAGCTAGTCCAACACATATTAAAATGTCACATTTCATAAGCCTTTGTTCTGGTGTGAGACACGTGGGAGGATGCACCCACTTGTTCCTTGAGGTGCATGCACAAACATACATCACATATTTAATCATGTCCCATCATCTACATGAGTTATTGTCATTGGATGACTCATATCCATTGTAGCACTCCTTCATGTCCAATGTTCGGGTAAGTCAATTTAGATGAACATTTATACAGTTAAAAAGTAAAATTCAATGAACCTGCCATTTCATAATATGTTTTCATCCACACTGTAAAGTTAGTTTAATATACATGCTGGCAGCATGGGTAACTTAAATGGAGAGATTTTGCTTTTTGCCTAATTAATCTAACTGCCTGTCGTGATTGAAATGGAAGCAAAACTTCAACTAGCAAAAAGGAAAATCGAAACATCCCATCTCATAGTGGTGTTAAATAAAAAATAATCAAAATGTGAAAAACTGACATCCAACATAAATCAGAACATCATCAGCAATTAAGTAAAGTAGTCTTCTGAAATTATTTAACCACGGGAGAAACGGACATGTTTAGAAATATTTTATTTAACCAAAACTTTAGAGTTTTGCTATAGTGCATGGATTTTGTTTAATTGACTAAAGCTAAAGACAAGGAAAGTTACCATGCATCTGTATAGTAAGGTTTCAGCTGGAAAAAATCCCTCTCAAAGGCATCCTGATCCTCGGTCTTCACACTAAGAACAACTGCATGCTCATATATATCCCCTGGAAATTTTTGAAGAAATACACATTGCCAGTGGGAAAAATTAAGGTTTGAGGGAACATAAATAATGATGCCAGAAAAAATAGATGTTCTTCAATTTTACGCTATTTCAATATCCTCTAGGGTAGATATTAAACTCTAGATAAGCTGCAAACAGCATGCCTCATGCCACCATTATGTTCATGATCATGTTTGATAGATAAATAACAACTGGTCATTAAAAAATCTGTAACCAATGAACCTTTGAATTATGAAGTCCATAAGATAACAATTGGTACTCCATTCCCCACAAAGTATCCACCTAATGGGCAGCGCAAATCTTTGGCGTTATGTGTGTGTGAATAGGAGTGATAAAGCTTGTGGTTTTAATTAAAGATACAGCTCTCATGCGTTACAGCAGCAAAGCAGGAGTTGCACTGCCAACTACTTTTGCACGCAGTAGGATACACACATACATTTAAAGGTTGATATATTCTTGGTTCGAGAAAACTGCTTTCACCCTTGTGTCTACTCCAATGTGTCATGATGAAATTGATTTTCTTTTCTTGTTTTTTTGTCCTTTTCTTTCTTTGCCGCCACCTCTCATTAGACATTTACTTCCCCTTGCCCTGAAAAAGGAAAATGTCCTCCCATTCTCTCATGTCTAGTGACAGCAAAGAGAATCATCAGGATCAAGCCTTCCTACTGTGGACAATACATTGTTCAGACAATTTGCACATCCACAATAGGCAATAAAAGAAACTGCAATTATTTTAGATCCCAGGTGATTATGCATGTCCACGGCAACATGAATACATAGTTAACAATTGGAAAAATAAAGTTAAGAAACTGCAAAGAAGAAATGCAATAAATGGGTTTTTGTTTCTCTGTGTCTAACACTCCCTCTCACATACATACACAGCCCAATATGACACAAAGTACGTGCATTAAGAGAAAAGAGGTTTCTATAAACTTCCAACAAAAATGACAAAGAAAAGAGTCAAAGTGAAGAACATTACTTGCTACTGTCAACTCATGAAGCGCATTAGGTGTTTCTTCAAATAAAGGAGGAAGACTTTTAAATTCTGTCAGAGAAACCTGCAAACAAAAAACACGATTGATACACACCATATGGTAATACCAAGGTCTAAAGATATAAATACATAACCTTACAACTTTTTCCAACAAGATCCTTACAATTCTCAGTAATATTATATTTACAATAGTTCCGTTAATCCAATAGTATAATCTAGCAACATTCTTAGTGCGTAGAACTCCACCAAGATCCAAAGATCTGCATTTCTCCGATTTCCTTTTCTTTCTGCATATTTCCAACCGTGCTCTATTTCCCCATACTTAAGATGTCTTTTACAATCACTGCTTCCTTAGACTAACAGCCAGGGAATAGGATATCCATACTACAAAAATAATATCTACCACAATGAAGTAGAGAATAAAGCCTGAGTTTCACATCCTCAACCAAAATACCTTTTTTTATTTTCAGTTCTGAAAGGATATAATTAAACAATTCAACTGCAAATCTTCCTCATAAATGTTTCAGTGTAAGTACTCTCGTGCTTTGCTTCCACACCACAGCCCAGTAAAAAATAGTATTTTGGAGCAGTACCAAATTCATTGCCAACTCCTAAATCTACAGTCCATGATTAGGGAATCACGAAAAACGACTCAAGCAATTCCATAAACTAATAAGTCCAAACACAATCTGCAATTCTTCTTCGTGATCCATAGATCAAACGCCACATGTTATTCTTCATTACACAATAATTCGCAGTGAAATGTTTAAATGTTATAGGTTGCTTGAGACTCGAATCAAGAATGTTATCCTATAGCACTGAACTCAACAAACAGTAGTACCAAAAAAAAATCAACGCAATGCAGAAAAAAATTATGGCATTAAAAAATGACCTAGCTAGATTAGGCAGTGGTGGATCCCTCGAATACAAAATTAACATGATACAGGAAAAATTATAGCATTCGATTGGATAAGGTTGTTTCAATTAAAATAAGATTCAGAATACGGAGACCTGTTACCAAAGAACATCAAGAACTGAATAATTAGGGTTTTGAAAGTGGTTACAATGGTTAAGTTTTTTGGAAGGGATTTACCGTTACCTTGAGTTGAGAGAGGAGTTTTGCACAGGTATCAAAATCGTTCCGTACGAAAGCGGCTTTGAATCGCTCGAACAGTTGCGAAACCTCCGTCAGCTTTGGATCCATCTCTCTCCCTCTCTCAGTTGGGAGTCAGCCGTTGCTTGGCTACCCTTCTTTGGCTACAAGAAACTTGACAGCACAGACTATTTTTCTAGGTTATATAGTTAGCCGATGGACAGTTCGGATGCAGAAGGTTTTGTATTTTAGGTATTCAAAAAATGTATTTTTTTATTTTAATTATTCATTTTTTTAATACATACTTTAATAAATTTTTTATATTTTAACTATTTTTTTTAAATATTAATTTTCATATCTTGTCCTTTTGTTGAAATTATTTTAGGAAAAGAGAAAAAAAATAGAGAAAATAAAAAAGAAGAAAAAAAGAGAGAAAGATAAAGGGAGGATAAGAAAGGTGGAAAATGACAAAAGACATAGAGAATATATTATAAATTATTTATATATAATATTATATTAATTATTTTAAAGTTTTAGTCATTCTCGTGGAGATACTCTCGTGCAGCCAGTGTCGTTTTAGTGCGAAACTGTGTCGTGCATAAATAATATCGTTTTAGTTTGAAATGACGTTATTTTGGCTAAAAAATTTAACAATAGAGGATCTAAATCTTTGATGACCTAGTTTATTTCTTTTACTTTAAAGGTAATTCAAGTAATAGAAATAAATTATAAATTTAAACATCGATAATCTTTAGGGCCAAGTCGAGAATGATAAATTTTAAATTTAGACGACGTCACAAAATAAATACATGTGGATTGCCCCCAAAAATAAAAGTTGCCCCTCCACCGGTGAACCCAAAGCTTATCCACTTGTCACTCCCTTGCATCGTCGCCGCCCAAGCTTACATCTCTGATCTTCCATACAATCTCAGAGACTGAGAGCAACAATTACAGAGAGCTCCAAAAATGGCCGCCTCGTTGGTCTCTTCAACCCTAACTCCCTCATCTGCCCCTCCATTCCCTCCCAAACCCCACAACCATTTTCTCTCTCCTCGTAGTTTTATGGCTTTTTCTAGAGAAGCCAAAACCTGGCACCACCAAAAGAGAAACATAGGCTTATCCATCAAAGCGCAAACTCTGGACTTCTCGGGAACGTTCTTTGAAGGAGGAGGATTCGGAGTAGACGATGACCCACCAACCACAGCCGGGTCGGTCATTTCGGCTGTTGAAGACAAAGAGGAGCCTCAGTGCCCACCTGGCCTTCGACAATATGAAACCATGGCCGTCTTCAGGCCCGACATGTCCGAAGACGAAAGACTTACTGTTACCCAGAAGTATGAAGAGGTACACATTCACATTCCTGTACACTCATGCTCCCATACATTGCATTATATTTGTCATTTATTCATGTTCATATTTTTGGGAGTAACTAATTCATAACAGAATTAGTTTACGAGATCCAACCCCTTTTCCAAAACCCAAAAAAATGGGTGGGGTGGGTTTGGCGAAAGATTCAATTGGGGTACAAAAGAGAAAGTGCAGGGGGAAATTGGGATATTAATAGCCTGTGTATCTATCATGTGTCCAGTGTGCAAAAATTGGTCTTTTGTACTTCAGTGTCATGTTGTGGAATCGGGCTACATTGCTTGCTTTTATACTCAATCAAACTCTATAGATACGAGTAGATAAGAAGACATTTAGATGTCATTGCAATGTATTTTGATTGGATTAGATGGCTTTAAGATGTAATTGCACTGTCTTTTTTTGTTTGGGAATATAAGATGTCAGAAAAAGTTATTTAAATGGTGTGTAGCAAAAAGAAAAAGAAAGAAATTTGGACCATCATGTGGCTGCAAATGATATGGGTAAATGAAAGCTCTCTTTTTCATTTGAATGTTCTCTTCACTTCAAAATACACTACAAGTAAGCATTCTCTGCTGGGCTAATTCCCCATATTTTAATGAGTGATTCGAGTTTTTTTATCTTATTCTGTTGCATCAATGATGTTTTTCAAAAAGAAAAATTTTGTTGAACATTTGTGGGAGAATAAATGCTTTTGGATGCAGATTGAAGCATGGGAGAGCTCTCTCCCCAGAAATTAGAGAGATAAGCCCTCCCTTCCCCAAGGCAGAGAACTTTTGGATGGGTTTTTTTTTATGCTTCTTTTATTTCAAAGAGGAAATCAGTGTATTTTGTATATAATATGTTTAACATAAGCATTAATTCATTATGAGGAATCCATGAAACCGAAGGAACATAATAAGGGCGGTCTATGAACAATTACATAGTAAGCTTGAACTAGCTGATGGGGTTTCTGATTGCTTGCCCAACTAGACATGTTGGAACCAAGCCTTCCAATTGCGCACAATTGTAATCATCCACCAATTTGATTGTAACTGTTGATCATGTCCATGCAATTTTGTACCTGAAAGCCATGTAGCCTTGACAAACTTCTTATATTTTTTCCAATCTTTTGAAGTTTGAATTTGAAGGCTCGTTTGAGATAAAATACACATATCTCAACTCCACAATTCTTTGCAAAATGTGTAGTGCTTTTGAATTTCGGAAGTACAATTGAAATTGTATCAAACGTGTAAAATTCAGAGTAAATTAATTTTCATTACCTGTTGATTTGCTGCCTTGCTTTTCAGTAAATGCCAGACCCGTAAAAAGATTCATCTTTTTATTTCCTTTCGTTTTTCCCTCCTTTTTTTGTGGGTTGGGGTAGGGGAGGGTGTGGAAACCGTGGGATTGCATGTCTCCTCTCGATTGATTAATTTTACTTTACTGTTCTATAGCACGAATTCTGCCCCATTGTCTGTTACCCATTCTCCGTCATGTGAAGGAATGACGGAAATGGATGATGCTAGTCGTACCATACACATAATTTCCTGGTCCTTATGGTGGATTAAATGGAAGTCATATTCAATTAGGATGTCTCAGGTATAGCTAGAAATGCCCTTTTATTAGATAGATTTGATCTTTACTCTCCCTGGTAAGACAAAGTGTCTTAGCAGTATGCACGCTTGCTCAGGCCCAGTTGTACCATAAATTGTAAAGTTGTCAAGAATGTCCAAGAATTTCCTGCTGAAATTCTGCTTCCTTTCATGCATCCAGTAGTTTAATGAAAGGCCTGAAACCCAATTCGGTGCTACNTACCTTAGGAGTCGCTCCAAATTTTAGTAAAGCATGCCCACTGGATAGTGAATTATACATTAAGAGGGTTACTCGAGCAGACTAAATTTTCAAGACACTACCCTAAATTGAGTTTAGCAATTATGCTCGTCCATCTTGTTGCTTAGTTCTCCCTTGAGAAGGGTCATACTGCCCTATCCCTATGTGGGGGACCTCTCCTCTTAGTCCATTGGGCCGATTGAACAATGGTGTCCCATAGGTTGAAGATATTAGTTTCATTGGTTGTGCAATCCCAGCTTTGTGCCTTGTTTCCACAGTGGGGGAGGCGAGTCACGGCAAAGTTGCCCCAGACTTTTGCAGTATCACTCTAGTTCGTCCTTGGTTAAGTGTCCATTTTACCACTTTTAATGTGATGAGGATGTGTCCCGCCCTTCTGCGGCACTATAGTGTTGAAGTAGTGCTGATGTCTGCCGCAACGCTGAAATATTATCATGACACTGTTGTCCGAACTAATTCTGTTGGACCCCCACTGTCATATAAGTTATCGACTCTAGTCATTTGTTCTCTTATAATATGGACACGTGTCTTGAATTTATTGGATAATAAAATAGGAAATATTCGGACCACATTTTTAACAACACAAATCACATTTTGTCAAATAATATAAAGTTATGTTATGAGATTCGAAAATGAGATCTATGATAATCCTTTAAATATTCAACCTTATCCTTCGTACTATGAAAAACAATGTTATTTTCTCAAAACCCCATCATTTTCATTACACTCGAATAATTGATGATTAAAGTCCACAAAAACTAGAAAAGTCAGGATTGTGTTACTTGGTTAGCAGGGCAACATTGCCAACCTATAATTGAAAAAGGACAAGAAGATATTTCAATAATATGGTGGTTGTGAATGCCTTATCAGGTGGGTGTGTGATTATGGTTATGGTTATACTTATTTATTAATATAAATTTAATTATTGACCGACTGCTCGTCATTCTTCAACCTCCATTATTCAATTCACAGCAGAACAAAAGTTCACTTGTAGTGTGTCGGCCGCTAAAATTCTATGTAAGTCCCTAAATAACTTTATCTAAATCGCGTCATTCTTGCTCAACCTCTATTTGTACCTATCACTCAAGATTGTTAGATTAGGTGTTTAAATTTGAATCAACTATTGCCTCAAACTTAATGATTGACCACCGTAATTTGAATTGTATTAGAACATATCCTAAGTGCCTATTTGGTATGTGAGTTTGGAAAGATTTTGAAACATGAGTTGAAGAATAAACTCCCTCAAACTCACGTTTGACAAATACACATGTAGTCTAGGGTTTGAAACTCAGCCCGATCATGAAACCCAAGTTTATGGGTTTCATGAAACTCACGGGGGCGTGGGTTTCATATGTGGGTTAGTGGATTTAACATACAAATGACATTTATACCCTCATATATCTTATATACTCCATATAAATAAATTGATTAAGGAACACAAGTCATTTAAATAAAAATATATTATCATAATAATCATATATCCCTGGGCATATCAAATATGAGTATGAACAACATTAAATATTGAATATCATCTTTGGGTTTGGACAAGTCAATCCAAATTCCTCCCAAAAAACATATCAAACAGCCCCTAAAAGGACAAAAATGACCGATCTCACATGATACTTAGATATCACGAGTGTAAACCAGTGACTCTACTGATGACTCAGTTAATAGAACTGCAATTTTATTCAGTGACGAAATTGTCACTGGATTTGGAGCAATTATGCATACCAATCCGATTGAATAATGTCATGGGCTGAGCTTATAACACTGTTTATCATTTTACCTCCCTCAAACCCCGTTACATTCAAGAGTCTACACCAGTTTGGATCTATTGACTTGTCACATGTAAAAATAACTGGTTAGGCAGTACATGACCGGGAAGAATGAAATTGATCTTTGAAACCCTGGGAAACGATAAGTGTGTATTTTTGTTGGCAAGCAGGTGAGTGGGGTACAAGACTTCACATGTCGGTGTTCGACGATTAATATGCTTTTCACAACCAAGCCACTAAACACCTTCAGATTATAGAGTTAAAGCCACATGTTAGATAGAGCAAAGTGATTGGAACCGACACTAGATGTGCAACATGGTAAAGCAGGAAAAAAGGGACAAGAAACTGTGAATATTCCAACATAGCAACTTGTTTTGAATTTCTTTCCCTACTGAACAAAAGCATTGTCGGAACCCAAAGACACAAGTGCAGAATTTGTCTGCTTCCAAGAGAATGTAGAAGCTGACTACCATCCCTGGTTCTGAATTATAGTTCAAACATAAACACTTCTGCCAGGCAAATAGCAGGTTTAAGCGCTAGGGATTCGAAGTACGGAAACAAACAATGATTGAGCAGAATGTCCCTCAAACAATCCGCTCCAACTCCCTTGCATAACTCAGTGTCTGATTGATGAGTTGCAAAGACGGTATCTCCTTGCAAGGTGCAGATTCTTTTGCCCTTTGAAAAATTACAAATCCATTCTTTAACTCCCACTCAGGGTGCTCCTGCAAACCACAAGATACTATAATGCTCAGGAATGGTCCATTTACCGCGTTATCATTCAAAGCAATGATAATATGCTTAAAAGGAAATAATGAATAATAAAGAAAGTATTAAATCCGAACTCAACCTCTCCAATAAACCAATATGATTTCAAGTAGGTTCCAAAAAGTATTCCAATAAAGATGAAGTATGCCGCAAAGGTATGATGTATGCATATTTTAAAGTCCTTGGCAAATAACCAAACACAATTTACAATCAAGAAATATTTCAGAAAGAGAGAGAGAAGGGGGTGGGGGGAATGCAGGAAATTTTAAAGCAAAGGAGAAAACCAAAGATGACTGACTGATCAATACCACCCTTCTCATGCAAATCATCAAGACAAGATTAGTATGTGCTAAATTTAATTGACTAATAAGTCTCAAAAAATGCAAAAAAATTTACCTCCTTGACATATTCAAGAAGTTCTTGGTCTGAAGAGAACAGCAACATTTGTCTGCAATCATTAATTGAAAGAGAATCATATGCCTTCTCACCACATCCAGCAATCTCGTCCCTAACAAAAGCAAAGGAAAAAAAACTACTAAGCACATAAAACAAACAGCATTTTTTTAGGTAACTTATCATAAGACTATAAATTCAACTACAACTGGCCACTAACAATCTCCTTAGAAGGATGTGATAAGTTGTGCCACTACAACAGAATCCCATTTCCAGTAAAATTAATGAAATTGAAGATGATGGCTAGTACGCTAGTCCCATACCACTTCTTGCTATGCGAACTTTAGTCAAATCCTTTGAATATTGCATAATTTTGGGATCAACTAATTACCTGACTGTCTTTGCCAGTAGATCCATGAAATAAACGTATGTTTCGTGAGGGACTGTCTGTCTAGCACTCAAGACACGATTGTAAGCTCCTTCCATAAAGGATTGCTCTAATTCCACATCATGTTTGATACAAGGATTCTCCAGAGCAGTGGCAGAAAGCAACTCCAATTCTGTGTGGAATTCAGCAATTCTATTCTGCACAAGAAGTCTCAAAAGGTTGAGACCTAAGATGGGGTACTCCTGAGGGGATGATGGAATACGTCCACTGGTCCATCAAAAGAAACAGAAGTCACAAACATACCTTTTCATTTCAGGAGTTGTGCAAGCAAATAAGAGTAAGTGTTTGAAAAAAAAGATCACCAGCAACTACATTCCTCACACGCAATGAGGTTCTGTTTTAAACATACCTCCCTTAATTTACATGTAGGCATAACATACAGTATATATACACATCAACAAAGACAATTCACGAATACATAAAATAATAAGATATGCAACTAGAAATTAAAGAAAAGCTTCCCTACATAATCACAAAACACAATCAGTTGAAAGATTGTACAACTATCTATTCAAAGCTAGTCCAACACATATTAAAATGTCACATTTCATAAGCCTTTGTTCTGGTGTGAGACACGTGGGAGGATGCACCCACTTGTTCCTTGAGGTGCATGCACAAACATACATCACATATTTAATCATGTCCCATCATCTACATGAGTTATTGTCATTGGATGACTCATATCCATTGTAGCACTCCTTCATGTCCAATGTTCGGGTAAGTCAATTTAGATGAACATTTATACAGTTAAAAAGTAAAATTCAATGAACCTGCCATTTCATAATATGTTTTCATCCACACTGTAAAGTTAGTTTAATATACATGCTGGCAGCATGGGTAACTTAAATGGAGAGATTTTGCTTTTTGCCTAATTAATCTAACTGCCTGTCGTGATTGAAATGGAAGCAAAACTTCAACTAGCAAAAAGGAAAATCGAAACATCCCATCTCATAGTGGTGTTAAATAAAAAATAATCAAAATGTGAAAAACTGACATCCAACATAAATCAGAACATCATCAGCAATTAAGTAAAGTAGTCTTCTGAAATTATTTAACCACGGGAGAAACGGACATGTTTAGAAATATTTTATTTAACCAAAACTTTAGAGTTTTGCTATAGTGCATGGATTTTGTTTAATTGACTAAAGCTAAAGACAAGGAAAGTTACCATGCATCTGTATAGTAAGGTTTCAGCTGGAAAAAATCCCTCTCAAAGGNTTGTGTTAGATACATGACCGATAATATGATATTTGTATTGTAGTTAAGGATTAAAATTTTGGTTCGGTGCATTGTTTTGGTCACCTTGAAAACGGAAATGTTTCGATCCGTTTTGAAAATAGTATTAAAAATTAAAAAATTTAAGAATTATTTTTCTAAAATATCGGTCGAAATATATTAAAATATCTTGAAATATTTCGAAACAATTGTGTAAATGTATTAAAACATTATGAAACACCTCGAAGTATTAGAATTTTGATTCTATTACTGATTCGTTTTAATCTCCATAGAAAAAAAAATATTTTAAATATTTCGACCGTTTTAAAATAAAATTATAATATTTAATTGTACCCCACATGTTAGAATCCTTACCAGCACGATTAAGGCACCAACTTTAAAATTGTGGGGATGTGGAGGTACATTTCTCTATGCACACATAAACGAGGTTTGGCACTGCGTGACCTGTGACGTCTTTGTCTCTGGCACTCTCTAGCAGAACCTGCGCATTCAAGGGACCATCCATCAATAATTATTGCTTTACATGGCTCTACCATGAAGTATCAAGTTTCAACTAGCTAGAGGCTAATATCCTAACGTACATATTGAAAAATTGTCACATGGTGTATATACCTAATGAAAAATTGTCATGTTCTTTTTTAAAAAAAAATATGACAAAGTAATGAATGATTACTCTTTTTTCTGAATGTATAACTTTTAATTGACTATTTACACCACCCGACACCGCACAAAAAAATTTACGTGAGGAAAGGGATTACTATTTATAGGTAATAAACATTGGGTGTAACGATTATATTGCATTAGTATTGTNAAAGGCATCCTGATCCTCGGTCTTCACACTAAGAACAACTGCATGCTCATATATATCCCCTGGAAATTTTTGAAGAAATACACATTGCCAGTGGGAAAAATTAAGGTTTGAGGGAACATAAATAATGATGCCAGAAAAAATAGATGTTCTTCAATTTTACGCTATTTCAATATCCTCTAGGGTAGATATTAAACTCTAGATAAGCTGCAAACAGCATGCCTCATGCCACCATTATGTTCATGATCATGTTTGATAGATAAATAATAACAACTGGTCATTAAAAAATCTGTAACCAATGAACCTTTGAATTATGAAGTCCATAAGATAACAATTGGTACTCCATTCCCCACAAAGTATCCACCTAATGGGCAGCGCAAATCTTTGGCGTTATGTGTGTGTGAATAGGAGTGATAAAGCTTGTGGTTTTAATTAAAGATACAGCTCTCATGCGTTACAGCAGCAAAGCAGGAGTTGCACTGCCAACTACTTTTGCACGCAGTAGGATACACACATACATTTAAAGGTTGATATATTCTTGGTTCGAGAAAACTGCTTTCACCCTTGTGTCTACTCCAATGTGTCATGATGAAATTGATTTTCTTTTCTTGTTTTTTTGTCCTTTTCTTTCTTTGCCGCCACCTCTCATTAGACATTTACTTCCCCTTGCCCTGAAAAAGGAAAATGTCCTCCCATCCTCTCATGTCTAGTGACAGCAAAGAGAATCATCAGGATCAAGCCTTCCTACTGTGGACAATACATTGTTCAGACAATTTGCACATCCACAATAGGCAATAAAAGAAACTGCAATTATTTTAGATCCCAGGTGATTATGCATGTCCACGGCAACATGAATACATAGTTAACAATTGGAAAAATAAAGTTAAGAAACTGCAAAGAAGAAATGCAATAAATGGGTTTTTGTTTCTCTGTGTCTAACACTCCCTCTCACATACATACACAGCCCAATATGACACAAAGTACGTGCATTAAGAGAAAAGAGGTTTCTATAAACTTCCAACAAAAATGACAAAGAAAAGAGTCAAAGTGAAGAACATTACTTGCTACTGTCAACTCATGAAGCGCATTAGGTGTTTCTTCAAATAAAGGAGGAAGACTTTTAAATTCTGTCAGAGAAACCTGCAAACAAAAAACACGATTGATACACACCATATGGTAATACCAAGGTCTAAAGATATAAATACATAACCTTACAACTTTTTCCAATAAGATCCTTACAATTCTCAGTAATATTATTTTTACAATAGTTCCGTTAATCCAATAGTATAATCTAGCAACATTCTTAGTGCGTAGAACTCCACCAAGATCCAAAGATCTGCATTTCTCCGATTTCCTTTTCTTTCTGCATATTTCCAACCGTGCTCTATTTCCCCATACTTAAGATGTCTTTTACAATCACTGCTTCCTTAGACTAACAGCCAGGGAATAGGATATCCATACTACAAAAATAATATCTACCACAATGAAGTAGAGAATAAAGCCTGAGTTTCACATCCTCAACCAAAATACCTTTTTTTATTTTCAGTTCTGAAAGGATATAATTAAACAATTCAACTGCAAATCTTCCTCATAAATGTTTCAGTGTAAGTACTCTCGTGCTTTGCTTCCACACCACAGCCCAGTAAAAAATAGTATTTTGGAGCAGTACCAAATTCATTGCCAACTCCTAAATCTACAGTCCATGATTAGGGAATCACGAAAAACGACTCAAGCAATTCCATAAACTAATAAGCCCAAACACAATCTGCAATTCTTCTTCGTGATCCATAGATCAAACGCCACATGTTATTCTTCATTACACAATAATTCGCAGTGAAATGTTTAAATGTTATAGGTTGCTTGAGACTCGAATCAAGAATGTTATCCTATAGCACTGAACTCAACAAACAGTAGTACCAAAAAAAATCAACGCAATGCAGAAAAAAATTATGGCATTAAAAAATGACCTAGCTAGATTAGGCAGTGGTGGATCCCTCGAATACAAAATTAACATGATACAGGAAAAATTATAGCATTCGATTGGATAAGGTTGTTTCAATTAAAATAAGATTCAGAATACGGAGACCTGTTACCAAAGAACATCAAGAACTGAATAATTAGGGTTTTGAAAGTGGTTACAATGGTTAAGTTTTTTGGAAGGGATTTACCGTTACCTTGAGTTGAGAGAGGAGTTTTGCACAGGTATCAAAATCGTTCCGTACGAAAGCGGCTTTGAATCGCTCGAACAGTTGCGAAACCTCCGTCAGCTTTGGATCCATCTCTCTCCCTCTCTCAGTTGGGAGTCAGCCGTTGCTTGGCTACCCTTCTTTGGCTACAAGAAACTTGACAGCACAGACTATTTTTCTAGGTTATATAGTTAGCCGATGGACAGTTCGGATGCAGAAGGTTTTGTATTTTAGGTATTCAAAAAATGTATTTTTTTATTTTAATTATTCATTTTTTTAATACATACTTTAATAAATTTTTTATATTTTAACTATTTTTTTAAAATATTAATTTTCATATTGTCCTTTTGTTGAAATTATTAAAGGAAAAGAAAAAAAAAATAGAGAAAATGAAAAAGAAAAAAAAAAGAGAGAAAGATAAAGGGAGGATAAAAAAGGTGGAAAAGGACAAAAGACATAGAGAATATATTATAAATTATTTATATATAATATTATATTAATTATTTTAAAGTTTTAATCATTCTCTTGGAGATACTCTCGTGCAGCAAGTGTCGTTTTACTGCGAAACTGTGTCGTGCATAAATAATATCGTTTTAGTTTGAAATGACGTTATTTTGGCTAAAAAATTTAACAATAGAGGATTTAAATCTTTGATGACCTAGTTTATTTCTTTACTTTCAAGGTAATTTAAGTAATAGAAATAAATTATAAATTTAAATATNTTAAATCTTTGATGACCTAGTTTATTTCTTTACTTTCAAGGTAATTTAAGTAATAGAAATAAATTATAAATTTAAATATTTTAAATTTATATATCGATAATCTTTAGAGCCAAATCGAGAATGATAAATTTTAAATTCAGACGGCGTCACAAAATAAATACATGTGAATTGCCCCCAAAAATAAAAGTTGCCCCTCCACCGGTGAACCCAAAAAAATATAGCTCATTCCCCTTATCCACTTGTCACTCCCTTGCATCGTCGCCGCCCAAGCTTACATCTCTGATCTTCCATACAATCTCAGAGACNCTTATCCACTTGTCACTCCCTTGCATCGTCGCCGCCCAAGCTTACATCTCTGATCTTCCATACAATCTCAGAGACTGAGAGCAACAATTACAGAGAGCTCCAAAAATGGCCGCCTCGTTGGTCTCTTCAACCCTAACTCCCTCATCTGCCCCTCCATTCCCTCCCAAACCCCACAACCATTTTCTCTCTCCTCGTAGTTTTATGGCTTTTTCTAGAGAAGCCAAAACCTGGCACCACCAAAAGAGAAACATAGGCTTATCCATCAAAGCGCAAACTCTGGACTTCTCGGGAACGTTCTTTGAAGGAGGAGGATTCGGAGTAGACGATGACCCACCAACCACAGCCGGGTCGGTCATTTCGGCTGTTGAAGACAAAGAGGAGCCTCAGTGCCCACCTGGCCTTCGACAATATGAAACCATGGCCGTCTTCAGGCCCGACATGTCCGAAGACGAAAGACTTACTGTTACCCAGAAGTATGAAGAGGTACACATTCACATTCCTGTACACTCATGCTCCCATACATTGCATTATATTTGTCATTTATTCATGTTCATATTTTTGGGAGTAACTAATTCATAACAGAATTAGTTTACGAGATCCAACCCCTTTTCCAAAACCCAAAAAAATGGGTGGGGTGGGTTTGGCGAAAGATTCAATTGGGGTACAAAAGAGAAAGTGCAGGGGGAAATTGGGATATTAATAGCCTGTGTATCTATCATGTGTCCAGTGTGCAAAAATTGGTCTTTTGTACTTCAGTGTCATGTTGTGGAATCGGGCTACATTGCTTGCTTTTATACTCAATCAAACTCTATAGATACGAGTAGATAAGAAGACATTTAGATGTCATTGCAATGTATTTTGATTGGATTAGATGGCTTTAAGATGTAATTGCACTGTCTTTTTTTGTTTGGGAATATAAGATGTCAGAAAAAGTTATTTAAATGGTGTGTAGCAAAAANATTTTGATTGGATTAGATGGCTTTAAGATGTAATTGCACTGTCTTTTTTTGTTTGGGAATATAAGATGTCAGAAAAAGTTATTTAAATGGTGTGTAGCAAAAAGAAAAAGAAAGAAATTTGGACCATCATGTGGCTGCAAATGATATGGGTAAATGAAAGCTCTCTTTTTCATTTGAATGTTCTCTTCACTTCAAAATACACTACGAGTAAGCATTCTCTGCTGGGCTAATTCCCCATATTTTAATGAGTGATTCGAGTTTTTTTATCTTATTCTGTTGCATCAATGATGTTTTTCAAAAAGAAAAATTTTGTTGAACATTTGTGGGAGAATAAATGCTTTTGGATGCAGATTGAAGCATGGGAGAGCTCTCTCCCCAGAAATTAGAGAGATAAGCCCTCCCTTCCCCAAGGCAGAGAACTTTTGGATGGGTTTTTTTTTATGCTTCTTTTATTTCAAAGAGGAAATCAGTGTATTTAGTATATAATATGTTTAACATAAGCATTCATTCATTATGAGGAATCCATGAAACCGAAGGAACATAATAAGGGCGGTCTATGAACANTTATGCTTCTTTTATTTCAAAGAGGAAATCAGTGTATTTTGTATATAATATGTTTAACATAAGCATTAATTCATTATGAGGAATCCATGAAACCGAAGGAACATAATAAGGGCGGTCTATGAACAATTACATAGTAAGCTTGAACTAGCTGATGGGGTTTCTGATTGCTTGCCCAACTAGACATGTTGGAACCAAGCCTTCCAATTGCGCACAATTGTAATCATCCACCAATTTGATTGTAACTGTTGATCATGTCCATGCAATTTTGTACCTGAAAGCCATGTAACCTTGACAAACTTCTTATATTTTTTCCAATCTTTTGAAGTTTGAATTTGAAGGCTCGTTTGAGATAAAATACACATATCTCAACTCCACAATTCTTTGCAAAATGTGTAGTGCTTTTGAATTTCGGAAGTACAATTGAAATTGTATCAAACGTGTAAAATTCAGAGTAAATTAATTTTCATTACCTGTTGATTTGCTGCCTTGCTTTTCAGTAAATGCCAGACCCGTAAAAAGATTCATCTTTTTATTTCCTTTCGTTTTTCCCTCCTTTTTTTGTGGGTTGGGGTAGGGGAGGGTGTGGAAACCGTGGGATTGCATGTCTCCTCTCGATTGATTAATTTTACTTTACTGTTCTATAGCACGAATTCTGCCCCATTGTCTGTTACCCATTCTCCGTCATGTGAAGGAATGACGGAAATGGATGATGCTAGTCGTACCATACACATAATTTCCTGGTCCTTATGGTGGATTAAATGGAAGTCATATTCAATTAGGATGTCTCAGGTATAGCTAGAAATGCCCTTTTATTAGATAGATTTGATCTTTACTCTCCCTGGTAAGACAAAGTGTCTTAGCAGTATGCACGCTTGCTCAGGCCCAGTTGTACCATAAATTGTAAAGTTGTCAAGAATGTCCAAGAATTTCCTGCTGAAATTCTGCTTCCTTTCATGCATCCAGTAGTTTAATGAAAGGCCTGAAACCCAATTCGGTGCTACGGCCCTGTTAATGTGTAATCATTTTGCAGTTGCTTGTTGCTGGGGGTGGCATGTATGTGGAGGTGTTCAATCGAGGGGTCATTCCGCTTGCCTACAGCATCAAGAAGAGGAACAAAGCAGGTGAGACCAATACTTATTTAGATGGCATCTACCTATTGTTCACTTACTTTACCAAACCTGAATCCATGGAAGTTCTCGAGGCAACACTGACAGTGGATGATAATGTTATTCGATCATCGAGTTTCAAAATAAGGAAAAGGAAGTACTAATTTCGTGTTAGTTTTTATCATTTGCATAGCTCTCTGTAAGCAAGGCAGATAGAAGGTACAGTTATATGATTTCTGGTGCTAGTGCTATGGTTTTTTTTTCCTTGGTAGAACTGTCATTAATTTTTGAATCTTTATTGGTCTATTTGTATGTGGCCAAGTTGCATTCGGATCGACACCTTTTGTTCTGAGACCGTTACACGTTCTGTTTAGACTACGAGTCTCACTCAACTAGTAGTTGACTCTCACGCGTTGTAACGACTTAGCCATAGTCATTCCAATCATTGTTATCGTAATCAAATCACAATATATTGACAAATAACATTCCGTGTCTGCATGATATAAGCTGTATTTTATTCCTATCAAAATTCTGCATTTCGTGCATATTATCCAATACCATTGGACCAACAGATGCATCTCGGTCTCTGAGCCTGTAACCTTGAACCATGCTATCCGGCCCAGTAGAGAATACTAGCAAGAGTCATTGATGTCAATTTTGACCTTCATAGGCATCTTTCCCTTATCAGTTATCAAGACTAAGCCTTCATACACTGGCCAGCTATTTAACACCACAAAACCGGCAAGGAACATCTGCCTAAACTGTTTTTCAAAGCTTCCAAACCTCCAGACCTGTACGATGCCTCGAAAAAAAGAGATCAAATTGATTATCGCAGCTGTTGTAATGGGCAAGAACAGAGGGGACGTGACTCTGAACTCGAAAATCCGTTGTTCGTATTGCTTGTTTTGTTCATTCTCAACCTCCTTGCTTGTGACGTTGAATACAAACGTTGATGAGCCAAGGTACTTGAGTAAGCATTCTACTAACCCAAATGGAANTTCTCAACCTCCTTGCTTGTGACGTTGAATACAAACGTTGATGAGCCAAGGTACTTGAGTAAGCATTCTACTAACCCAAATGGAAAACTTGAAAGTCCCCAACCATCCACATTCTCTGATTGTTCCACCACCTTTGGGCTGTTCCTCCTGCTAACATGAAGTCGAGAAAATCTTTTCCATAGGCTCCGAGGAAAAGAAATGCATACATGTAAAACCAAGTGTCTAAGACCTGTAACAAACAACGGTTAAACAATATATTTGATATTTGATACAACTCAACTTGACTAAACAAAACATATTTCTAATTATTTGGGATCGAGCCTGTTCTTAGCAGCTCATACTTGATATGCAGCATAATCACACCTAGTTAAGTGAAAACAATTGATATTCATGCTTAGCAATTAGCATAAACTGCTGATGACTACTTGCACATACCTTTGGAAAGATATGGAAAGAGTTGAGGAGAGCTAGCTTGGGGCAAGAAGGCATATATGATGATGGGAATACACCAAATGGACCAGAAAGAATAGTGTGGGCGTGGAAAGTGTTCATTGGGCTATGCTTACAAAAGCCCACATCAAGTAGGCCCATGGACCACCGTCTACTTTGATTCAGCAAATCATTCAGGGTGATGGGCGCATCCCCCAAAAATGCGGGTCTAGTAGGGTTGCAGAAAACTTGGCAATGCAGCATATAACCAGTGTACAAGTCCTCAACCAAGGATCCACACCTAAAACCCACCTACACAAGTTGGAACTGATGGGACTTTTCTGAAATACCCTATGATGAAAACACGTGTCTTNTCGGTGTCAGAAGATCGAAGGCTGGGGGGCAGTTGATGGGACTTTTCTGAAATACCCTATGATGAAGACACGTGTCTTCGGTATTACTAAAACACTGTTGCTAAGATCAAGCATCATCGGCTCACAAGGCCCTCTCCCCCGAGGTACTCGGCATATAGGATCACGAATTCATTATGTTTTGCACCGACACGTGGCCTCGGTCTGATACGGTACCTCGGTCGGTGCCCTACCTCGGTGCCGAGATGATCCTTCCCTCGGTGCCGAGGTGCACCGTCCAGGACACCTCCTCTACTCCAGGATAAGCTATTGACGTACATGTCATTAACCTAGGTTATTCATCATAACCTCGTCTTACACAAGTAATGTCAGAACGTACTAGAATGCAGAGGTCACAGCCAATAGGGGGTGGACGCGTGGCATATGATATCACATCGAAGACAGACAAATCGCATGTCGCTGCTGACACGCGACTTGAGAAAGCAAACAATTAATTGCATCATTCCCTTGATGAGACCGCATTCAATGCGGTAAGGTTCGGAAATGAAAGACAATAAATGCTCCTGAGACAGAGCATTTATTGCATCCTCCCCGAGAGGAGCACATTGTACCGTCGGCATCCCAATGACCCAGCATTGATTGCTCAGGACCCCGAGCAGTTAATTAGAAAAGAAATTTCTCAACATGATCAATGCACACGCTACCTGCACCTAATGATCACCTACTGACCACACTGACAGCAATCATGAGCTTTTGAGGTATAAATACTCCTTGCAAAAGGCAAGACGGGTATGCAATCACAAACTCTTTACTACAATACACACTCAGTGTTTTCTCCTTCCTCTCTCTCACTCAAAGACTGACTAGACATTCGGACGGGATACGCCGGAAAACACTCTGGCGCCCTTCTAACTCGTTCTTCTTTGTTCCAGGAACCCCTTTCAGCCTTACCGGATCCGTCTCCAGCTCCCCCAGGGTCTCCCGTTGCCGTTCCAGGCTACCACCGGACCTCGCAGGCTGTTCCAGGCAGCGTGGTTGGTCATTCAACGGGCTCACTTGAAGTTCACCAGGGGAGAGATCTGTTCTCGTTTTTTATATTGTGCAGGATCTTGCACGCACAATCTGGCGCCGTCTGTGGGAAACGACTAGTTTTCCTAGTTTTCTCTCTATAAAAGAACAGTGACCATGGTGAATACTCGACAGAAAGGGAAAGGACCCCACCAAAGGAGTCTCGAGTTACAAGCTCCCTGTCATCACGGAGGGAGGGATCACACCAATACGAATAAAAGTGCCTCTACTCGGTCAAGAGGGGTTACCCCTCAAACCAGTATGGGAATCAGGTCAGGGGGATCAGCCCCCTTGGCTCGTCAGCTGGCGGAGGTGATTGAAGAAAAATTTGGCGATAGATTACGTCAGCTGGAGAAGGACAATGTAAACGTCCTTAGCCGGCTCAACGAGTTTGCCGCCTCAGGCGGAGGGTCGAGGGATTCATTCCTTTCCCGTGGACTTCCCGCCCGGGAGGCGGAAACGAAGGATCTAAGAAACCACCTAGACCACAAAGCAGAAAGCTCTAGGGCCCCAAAGCGACCCAGAGCCGGCGAACATCATCATGACAACCATTCCAGGAAAGCAAGGCCATTGGCCCTGGACGACCTCCGGCGAGGTTTGTCTAGACGGAGGAAGGGAGATGAATCCGAGGAGGACTCAACCCAATCCACACGACGCCCAGGAAATGAGGGGCTTACCGATGAACTCAAGGACTTCAGAAGGCATCCCATCAGGGAAGAAATTGATCTCAGAGCCCGGTTAGACTCCAGGAGAAAGGGTAAGGCTGTCCAGGATGAGGCCGAGGACGAAGTCATACAAACACCCTTTACGAGGGAGATCGGTGAGATGGAGGTTTCAAGAAAGTTTGTCGTGCCGCGGTTCAAAACTTATGACGGGCGGTCCGATCCCGAAGCCCATGTCAGGCAATACAAGCAGATGATGTCCCTCTATCATTCGGACCAACGGTTTCTCTGCCGAGTGTTTCCTATGAGCTTGGGGGACTCTGCGATGAAGTGGTTCGAGGCGCTTCCCCCCAACAGTATTGGGTCCTGGAAGGAATTGACTAAGCAGTTCCTGGCTCGATTCATTACGGGGAGTAAGCGCCCCAAAGACATTGGATCATTGTTGACCCTCAGACGGAGGGAATCCGAGACTCTTCGCCAGTACGTCATCCGATACTAGGAAGAGGTCAATGAGGTAGAAGGCTGCTCGGAAGTCATGGCGGCGGCAACTTTCAGGCTCGGCTTGGCGAGGGACACGGACCTGTACCGATCCCTGACCAAGAAGACTCCCTCGGATATGGGGGAACTGATGGCCCGGATAAACAAGTACTTGAGGGTTGAGGACGAGATGGGAAGCAACAAGGTCGAACNGGGACACGTACCTGTACCAATCCCTGACCAAGAAGACTCCCTCGGATATGGGGGAACTGATGGCCCGGATACACAAGTACTCGAGGATTGAGGACGAGATGGGAAGCAACAAAGGTCGAGCCCTCCAGTCCAAGAGAAAGGAGAAGGAGCGCGAAGATATTCCCCGAAAGGGATTGCTACCCCATCCAGGGGGTTCGTCCAGAGGAGTTCACACTGTTTTCAAGGAACCCATCTTCAAGTTGCTCCATAAAATCAAGCATGAACCATTCTTCAAATGGCCGCCCAGGATGCAGGGGGACCCCTCCACCCGTGATCAAAAGGTTAGGTGTTCCTATCACCGGGATTTCGGCCATCGCACCGAAAGCTGTAGGGTGTTCAAATCGTTCTTGGAAAGCTTGGTCCGAGACGGACATTTGAAAGAGTACATAGAGCCCAGGCCAGAAGAGAGACGATCCCTTGCCCCGACCGAGGAGCCGAACAACATCATAGATGTCATCCATATTTGTCCCCTGGAGCGCCCCACGTCCAAAGAGCTTGAGTCCGACCTCAAGAGGATAGCTTTTACAAGGAAGGTAGCCGAGGGTGATGTGGGGCCATCAAGTAAAAGGGCCAGGATGGGTGATCTTGGCATTACGTTCTCTAACGCGGATCTGATAGGCGTGGTGATTCCTCATAACGACGCCCTTGTCTTGACCCTGAAGATAGGGAAATTCGATGTCAAGAGGATTTTGATAGACTCAGGAAGCTCCTCAGAGGTGATGTACTTCAAAACTCTGAAACGGATGGTCTTGGCCCCAAAGACCTCACCAAAGTCAGGACACCCCTCATCGGGTTCAACGGCTCATTCGTCTTGCCCGTGGGGAAAATCACTTTGCCAGTTACCACTAGTCCCTTTATCATCGACACCGAGTTTGTGGTGATCGATACGGACTCTCCCTACAACGTGATTATGGGGCGAACATGGCTGCATGCGTTGGGAGCGGTGCACTCCACTTTCCACCAGAAGTTAAAATTCGCCACGCCAGAGGGTATCATGGAGATCCGGGGGGACCAAGCNAGAAGTTAAAATTCGCCACGCCAGAGGGTATCATGGAGATCCGGGGGGACCAAGCGTCCGCGAAGAACTGTTTTTATTCGGCCGTCCGAGCCGAGGCGTCCAGCTAGGAGAAGGGGCGAGCACCGGAAGAGATTATGGAGAAATAGCAATTACAGTCCGGGCGTCCAAGAATGGATGACCCCCGGATAGACCCGACTAAACGGTCGGTTGAAGACCTCCGGAAGGTGCCCTTGGTAGAGGGAGAAGAAGAGAGGTATTTCTTAGTGGGGACCTCGATGCCTACAGCCGAACAGAAGGAGATGATCGAGTTCCTAAAGGGAAATACGGACGTGTTCGCCTGGAACGAGATGGAAATAACGGGAGTAGACCCCGAGATAATCACTCACAGGCTGCATGTTGACCCGTCGCACAAGCCAGTCAAACAGAGGCCACGACGCATGGCCCCGCATCACACCAACGCGGTCAACGAGGAAATCGACAAACTCCTGAAGGCCGATGCCATTCGAGAGATACAGTTCCC